CCTGACGCTTAGAGAATCACAAGACACGCTCCGTGAGAGGCAAGGATACGACGACAAACGAAACCTATGAAGTGCGGGGTCAAACAGGTGATCGAGAGCAGAAAGATGCGAACCTGCGGAGAGCTTGTCGGTCTCATAAAAAAATTTTTCGGCCCTTGGGGCCTCTTTTTGGTCTAAAAATAAGGGGGGCCGGGCCCCTCCCCTACATCCGCCACCGAAGACTCTGCTCACCAACCTTTGGTATCATTTTTTGGTGTAGCATTAATTTTGCCAACCGCTGTCGTTGGATCACTGCCTCTGTTGTATTGGGGCCCCGGCTGTTCGTGCATTAGCCGGGCGTTGCTTTGAAAATTCAAGCTTAGTTTACAACATGTCTAAAAGACATTCTCGAAATGACAACGCTAAGAAAAAACATTTTCACTCATAGTAACAGATGTGACCGAGTTTCTTATCTTTCTCAGGTTTGAGTTCAAGGGTATCCCTTCCAGTTACCCGTCCATGCCAGCATGATTGTTTCCTGCAACTTTTCAAAGTAGTACCTTAAGGGTGTTTCAACCTGTTTTCTGCTTCCATGGTAACCCTTGATAGTCTTGATGTCAAGAAAAACACGGAAAAGGCCACGGACAACAACTTGTTTACTAATGAATATGCATCTGATGCCATTATAACGGCAGTGTTAGACAAAGAGTGACTATACTATTGATCGATCAATTGATGATTACTAGAAAACGCTGCAAGTTTATACTAATTAAACTTATAGCTATCGCTTAGTGAAAATGAGCAAAGATTTTACCTATACGCGCGCGCTGTTCAATTTGTTTAGAAATGTCATGAATTACCGTAAGTTACGAAAATGCAGACTGCAGGTTAGTCATGAGTCCGTCATTTACCGTCATGGTACGCACCATGCATTATACTTGAAATCGTTCGTTGAGTGCCCCAACTAAGGACAGCGGGGTTGAGTTGTTCTAGCCTGCGTAGCTGGCGGTATTGTGTGGGTGCGAGATTAAAGTTTTGGCGGAGAAAGGGAGTAGGGACGAGGCGGTTGAGAAATGAATGCGTGACAAACGAACCCGGCCAAAGGACGTCTGCGGGGAGGCTATTCAAAAACCGGTTAACGCTAACTTGGGGTTAAAATGGAACGTACGAATTTCAAACTGTTTTATAGAAGCAGCCTAAATTAAAATTTTGGGAGTTTGGTTCTGCCTTGGAAATTTCGGGCACGTATTTGCTCGAAAACAATGCATTCTCTGTTCTGCATTATGCATAAAAAAAGTTGTCTTACACTACCTTATGTTACATCACTTTGAGATTCATTGTACCTTGGAACTTTCGCGCACGGCTTTACTACGCTGCCGCCTCGCAGTCTCGCGTCTTCGCGAGGCTGCTCGTTGGCAGTTAGCCACCTTCCACACAGTTCGTCAAACCAATAGGCTGACTTATATTCCGGCCTCACACTTATACTGCTTACCGGGTATATGGACATCGAAAAGAAATCTATTGAGTTATTTACACTGAAAAAGGCAATAGGGAGCTTAAGCAACAAGGGCGGCGACGCCTATGAAAACGTCACTTAAAAAGTGAATTCGCGCTCCTTCAAACTTTATCGCGCTCATTTCATCTCGTTTAATTCGTCAAATGTGGGCAATTTGTTTTGGAATAGAATTCTGAGGGTCTGTATCAAAGTTCAGTAAAAGAAAAAGAAAGTTGTTGTCTTCTGTTCCCGCCCTCGACAAAACGTGAAATTAGGCATTTTTACGTTGTAGTCGTGCAATGACAGCTTAAAGAAATGTACAAAAAAGCGTGAGGCACGTGCAAAGTTGTTGTTTTGCTAATCTAAATCTATTGCCTTTTTGCCGTTCTCGTTGCCGTCGCCGTCGCCGTCGTCGTTGCTTAAGCTCCCTAATAAAACTTTGCCGCTCATTAGCACGGACAACTTGCTCCATGACGGTTGGCAACCCAGACCTGACGGCTTAATCTCACACTTTTTGTCTTTTGTTTCCTCCTACGGAAAACGGAAAAATACCAGGTCAGCTAACGTAAGTAGATATAGGGCAATATCTCGATTTCGTCTTACAGCGGGGCTTCCCTAGTCTGCTACACAGCCGTTTTGAGTGTCGTCATGTAACCTCCTTTGTGGGGAAGAGCGTTGCGTGACGACACTAAAAACGGCTATGTAGTAGAATAGGGCTTCCCGGACCCCCGGTGATACTTACCATTCACATAGGAACGCGGAAATTCCGGTTGGACAATCAAATGTTGGCAAATACTGTAGTCAGTGAAAGCTATACTTTCCAGTACTTTAACTCTTCATTATCTTGCTCTGGCACTTACTATCCTAGTTCTACTGAGAGTCATTTTGCATGCCTTGCTACCCCGAGACCCGAGGGATGAAGGTGCTGCCTATAATGGCCTATACGGGGAGGCTCCGCCGAAAAGAGCGACCTTTTTCCCCTGCAGGGTACTCCCTATGATGGCCTATACGATAAAAGTCGAGAAAACGTTCTATTTTTGAGATTGATTCCTAATTAAAAGACACTGCATTTACAGCAGTTAAAAGGGATGCAAAGTTCTAAACAAGGTATGTGAAAGGGGTACCATTTGTCAATAGAAGGTATACGAAAGGGGAACCTTTTTCTTGAAAAATGGTATACAAAGGGGTAAGGGGTTGGACCTCGGGGCGGAGCCTCCCCCGTACAAACATTTGTTGAGTACCTGTCCCCCGGGCCTTTTTCAGGCTTCAGGTATGTGAAAGAGTGGGGAAATCACTTGTTGAAGTATATGAAAGGGTACGGAAATCTGTCATTTGGGTCTGTAAAAAGACCCATAAAAGGGCTAACAGATGCAATTTATGGCTAAGAAAAAGTCGAGAAACGTCCTAGTTTTGTGATAAAAGGTATAGGAAAAGGGTACCTTTTGTCACAAATGAAATATAAAGGGGGCAGGGATTGAACCTTGGGGTAGAGCCTACCAGCGTAAAACCTTGTTGAGTACCCCGTGGCCTTACTACCTACCGTGACTCCTTGCATCTTTTGAGACCCAGATAACAGCTGGTAGAGTAATATGTTGTATAGCTGGTATAAGTGGAAGTGTAGTAGTACTGAGTTCCCAAACGACAGTCGGCTGTAAAATAATAATGACAAATACCGCAAATGTCACTAGGTTGTCTGCATTATTCATATTAGATTATTGTTCATTCAAAATATTTCACTGTTTCTGATTGGCTCCAATTCCCCGGCCTACTACGTAGGTTAGTCCAGCCGACCCGGTATCACACCTTGGTTGGGCTAACCTACGTAGTAGGTGGTAACAACATCTGTGCACATTCATTTTCAATTGCTTGAAGGGACTTGTACCCGCAGAGGGTCCTTAATAGATTTTTCGGCATCCAGGATTTTTCTTATTTCAAGCTCGGGATTCGGGATTTAGAGAAAAAAGGGGCCAGATTCGGGATTGAAAGCATGCTTGGGAGAGGGATGCCAAAAATAACCCTCGGGATTACGGGATTGAAGACCCCTATTGGGGACCCTCCCTATTGACCTTTCTTGCATCTCACATCGAGTCGGCCATAATTATCAGAAAACAAAGAGCACTGAACTTAATGTTGTACTTCCAGCTGTGAGAACTAAATTTATAAAAAAATCTATTATATACCGGGGCCAAGCAAGGACCTACAATGAGCTCCCAGACGCGGCAAAATTGACACAATTCAAGAAGATGTTGAGGACTTTTATTCTGTAATTTTGCTGTATAGTATTTTTTTCAAGTATCTGCCATTTCATGTTTTTCTCTGCCATTCTCTTGTAATTAATTTTTATTTAACAGGACCCTCGTTGATATTAGCCCTGCTGAAGGAGTAAATCCTGTATAAATGTAGATAAATAAATATTCCTCGAGCTCATGACCAGCCAGTGCTTACCATATTTGCAAGATGTAAGTGATAAGCAACCGATTCAGTGGGCTAACATAGCAACCTCGTTTCCAGGCAGCGGCGCGTCATCCTAGTTCGGAAAATGACGAAAGAGTTTACGGCTATCTAGCCTGCGAACAGGCTCACTTTGTGCTAGTTTCTACGCGCGCTGGTAGCCTGCGTGGCAAGCGGGATGTTCCCCAAACTCGCACAAGGAGCCGGTTCGCAGAGAAACGGCTATCCGAAGACGAAATAGCTGAATTTCTGATTAAATCTGAACGGAAGAAACGCAGGAATACGCTAAAAATATTGTTCGATGGATGTCATCTGCGTTTTGAGCATTATCTAGAAGACCTTTTGAAATCCTGAAACAGTGCCGAGAAACAAGCAAATGGTTTGAAGAACGTCTTTGCGGAGGTAAGGTTGTTCGGAACTTAAAAATATTTTGAGTGAATAACAAAACAATTATTGCATTTCGGCTTCTGTACAATGTCAAGAATTGTGCGTAATTTTCGTAACGGGCTAATACATACCATAACAGCTACTTCCAGATTTATAGTAACAACGGTTGCAGTCACATCTATATGATCCCTGTGTATTGACGCAGTGTGAGTTGGACGGGCAACTGTAACGTCCTTCAAGACATTCGTTAATGTCAACACAAGAATAATGACCCTGGTTTCTCCAACCAGGAAAGCAGCTGCAACGGTACGAACCTTGCGTATTGACACACCTCGAATTGGATGGGCACCTGTGTGATCCTTGAGAACACTCATCAATATCGATGCAAGTGTGCACACCTTGATTCCTCCAACCAGACAAGCAGTTGCATCGATACGAGCCTTGCGTATTGACACACCTCGAATTGGATGGGCACCTGTGTGATCCTTTAGAACACTCATTAATATCGACGCAAGTGTGCACACCTTGATTCCTCCAACCAGACAAGCAGTTGCATCGATACGAGCCTTGCGTATTGACACACCTCGAATTGGATGGGCACCTGTGTGAACCTTGAGAACACTCATTAATATCGACGCAAGTGTGCACACCTTGATTCCTCCAACCAGACAAGCAGCTGCAACGGTACGAGCCTTGCGTATTGACACACCTCGAATTGGATGGGCACCTGTGTGATCCTTGAGAACACTCATCAATATCGACGCAAGTGTGCGCACCTCGATTCCTCCAACCAGACAAGCAGTTGCATCGATACGAGCCCGCAGAGTTTCGACAAGTTGATTGTGCTGGGCAAGCATTGGGCTTATCAACGCACTCGTTCACGTCTCTGCATGTTGGTAGACGAGCATTTGATGGATCTGGGTACCATCCGCTGTTGCATATGCATCTCCAGCTTCCAGCTGTGTTAACACAATAAGAGTTGCGATCGCAGCTGTGGATTCCACGACTGCACTCGTTTATGTCTGAACACTGGAATTCTGACACTTTCTCCCATCCTGGATTACACACACAATTATAACTTCCAAGGGTATTGACACATTTCGACGGATTAGAACACCTTTGATAAGACAAACAGAATTGACTTTTAGGTAGAAGCCAAAGGCCCAAAAACTACAACCGACAAAACTGAATTCGAAAAGAAAACTAACCAGAATAACGTGGATTCTCTTCTGACCAACCGTTCAAGAGAGTTAAAGTGAGCTGATATGGTAAAAGAAGTCATGTTGTGTCGCATTTTGATCATTTTGCGAATGAGATGGGAGGCTTTGATTACTTAAACATCGTGGGTTTAATTTTTCTTTGACAAATTTGTCTCTTTGACAGCGATCACTTACTCAGTCCGAGAGGAAAATCCCAGTATAACAAAATAATCAACATTACCTGTCAATTCCTTCCGTGCACTCATCAATGTCAGAACACACAGGATGTTCCCCTTGTCCCCGCCATCCTATATTACAACTGCAATTAAATCCTCCAGGGTAGTTGTTGCATGAAGCCTGTGGGTCGCACACGTTTCGGTATTGACACTCATCGGTATCAATACACGTTCTGCCATCAAAGGACCATCCAACAAGGGAAGGACATTCGCAACGGTAAGACCCAGGCGTGTTCACGCATTTGGCTGGTGAAATACACTCATGGGAGCCAACAAGACACTCACTGGTGTCTTCACACGATGAAGAAACATTGCTCCACTGATAACCGAGATGGCAAAGGCATGGACGTAATGCACTAACATTTCGGTTGCAGTCACCATGAGGTCCACATATTTCTGAACATGCTGAAAATTATTTCATAAACATGAACTTTCAGTAAGTACTAATTTTTTTAAAATATATGCTTCTTTACTCATTGACTGAAGAATTAAGAGCGGCTTTCCGTAAATATCGACCCACGGTCGGCACAAGTTCATAATTTGACTTCGCTCATTTTTGGCTCATCGATGACCCTTTCTTCCTTAGGAAACGATACACTTGTGAAAGCGGGAATATTTATGTGGCCAAAAGGTATTGTTAAAAATAGGCCCTATTGGCAATTTTTACCGTCGAAAATTATTGGGATAAAATAATGCAAATTTTAACCGCGCGCTATAACTTACAGTTTAGCAAATTAACTCTCTACGGCATTACTAGGCCCAAATCTATTAGAAAATCGAAACAAATCTCTGAGCAAACGAATTTAAGCAGCCCGCAAGACCTCGAGTTCAACCCTAATTACGCGGGATGACGTAGTTAGCCAGCGTCTAAAATTCGGTAGCGCATTCCTTTCGTCGTCTTGGGAGTCAAAAATTGCCTTGTTTTTTTTAACTTTCCCGTATCCCGTGCCCGTCCCGAAAAATTGTGTGGATTTTTATTGGCCGCAACGTCGAAGCACTTGCAAGTCAGGCTGGATTGCACAAGCCGAAAAACGATACTGCGTCAGCAAAGGAGGGAAAAGTAAGCTCACTGTGTAGAGGAGGACGAAGACTCAAGGCCGTGCTCTTAATACGGCGCAAGACTTGGCCTCGGGCGACTGAAAATATTGTCTAGGTGACCCTGCCGTGCGACTTGCTGGTGTTGGTGTTGTTTCTGTTGAGTTACAGTCAAAAAGCTAAGAATGTCTAGAATTTATTTCTTGCGAAATCGTAGCTCTCTCGGTGGCTTCGCGGCCTAAAAAGAACGCTCCGCTCGCTAAGAAACTCTTGAGGTCGACCTGTAAGTAGCAATTAGTAGCATGTCTATCAAAAAGCTTTAGGAAAATGTTGTTAAATCGGGCAGCGGGCACGCGTTGATGTTCAAAGGTCGTTTCACGTGAATTCACATGTAACATAATCCTTGACTATGAACGTGACAAGCTGCACAGTTTTCGCATAATAACATTGAAATTTTTTATTCAAATTAGGATTGTTCATTAGTTAGTTTTTCAAAACAAATTGTTACTTTTGCTCTGACAGGCGTGAAGTACGTTCGGCGACGCAAAACAATAGTTTTGTATCTTGAAAAATCGCTGAATAAACAAGAGAGTCGGTCTTTTATGTTCTTTAAATATTTTTACCTTTTTTTACTGTTGTGTCTGCGAGGCTAAAACATAACTAAGATTGTTATTCCAGTAAAATACGATGCATAAAAAAGAAAAGAGACGACTATTATAATTGTGATTGTTCTAGAATCGGGTATAAATCCCGCATTGCCTTTCGTGTGACAAGCGTCTCGTGTGACATTGTCTTTCGTGGTGACAACCCATTACGTATCACGTACTAAAAATAAATACGCAAAAGCTAACCGAATCTACATTTGTCCTGAACATTTCACCGGTAATATAGAAAGGAAATACTTCCGTTTTGCGCTTAAACGACGACTTTACAACAAGATGATCTATTCAAAAGAGAAAATAGTTTTGGAGCGGCCCGGGGGGATGCACTTCCTTATAAAGAGGCTAATGGGGATGTGACGCTGGATGGGGTCGCATTTTCAAGACTAGATTGACTATTATCAAAAGAGTTACTAGAGTGGGGTCGCACATTTTCGGATTTTTGGGTAAGAGAGCTGTTCATATTTACGGTTTGCAAACGTATCAGGATATTTGTACTGTAGGTGAAAAGTAAAGTGTTCTTCATTCAATTTATTAAAAAAATGGGTCAATTCATTTTTTGATGACCTATTTAAAGGATTGATAAGGTAGATACATAAATAGAAAGTGACTAAGTTGGGATCGCAAAAATTACATATTTGCCCGAGAGTGACGAATATGGGGTCTACACAATTGGCCACAGAAAAGACTATAATGGGGTAGGGGCTCTGAGAGGCCAGCGGCACATACCCGGGGAGCGCCGCGGTTTCGTTGAAATCATAACAGTTTTCCTGGAAAGCTCCACGGGATCTCAGTCAATCTTAATAAGCGAATTTTCTTTTCAACCTAAATCAAAATGATTAGTAAAAAGAATAGTGCCCTTATTTTTTACCCCAAATTTACTTTTCCATTTAAAAAACATGAAATGTTCGGCGGCGTTGTCCATGTTTCTCATATGGCGCGAAAACTTACTTTCATATGACAACATGCGGTTTTTTTTTTCGCGCGCTCAGGAGGTCAAAGAGATGTGATTTTTCATGAAAAAAAATATTCACAAAATTCTGCTTGACTTGTTAAGAAAATAATTAGTTTAATTTTTAATAATTAACTAACAGCTCATTGATTTATTAATTTGAGCGACCAACTTGGAGGCCCGGGAACCCCCAGCTAAAAATGCTTGGGGAGCCCAAAGGGCTCCCTGAAATTTTTCCTAGAGCACTTCCTTGCAGCTCTGTAGTTATTGGAAGTATGATACATTACGTGCTATTGTTGAATGTGGAAGTGCATTTTTTGAGGATATTAGTAAAGGAATGCAAATTTTAGTGAACTACCCCATACTCCTAACACATATGGTTGTAATATTGATGTAACTTTTGTTTTGAGTAGCAAAGGAACCCTTGTGTGTAACTCATCTTCTAGTGTATTAGTCCTTAACAGAACATCTCTTTCTCTCCTGCACACATTTGTTGCATACACTACTCAACTTTCCATTGCCATCCAACATACCCGTAATTCTTTCTTCAACCCACACATCCCGCGTAAACGCCTTCGGGCGTCTTCTTGTTTTGGGAAAAATCGCGACATTTGCATGGTTAAAAATAGCGTGTCACGGCCCGTCACGCCAGTGTTACCTATAGATACGCTTTAGACAATTTACTTAAAGGCAGATTAAAAGCCAATGCGAAATAAACTGTTTCAATAAACCTATTCAACAGTCCTATTCAGGACAACGTTCACCCGGACGATCAAACTCAACCTTTTGAAACCTATTATTCTTACTGACTGCAGCATTTTCTTCAGGTACAACATATAGCGTCCCCGGGATAGCGTCACACACTTTCATGTTCAGTTTCAGACTACCGATTCCCTCAAAAAATGGTATATAAACAGAAAAAATCTAAACTAAAACCGTTTACTGAATGAATTTTTGCATTGCGGGATATTTACGTATTAAATCATCGCCAAACAATGCCATCTAGTTTATAAAAACTAATTTCCTTGAAGCAATTAAATATTTCGACTAAGTATTGGCGCAATAGTTCTTCGAAGTTTTTACCCTTGCGGGCTCTCAAAACTGAAAAAAGCTACGTGGATGCCAAAGAGGAGACAACGAGTATGAATCATGAAGCTACTGCTCTATAAATGACCCATTACATTGCCAGGCTTACCATTAACTCAGTTTCGGGTTGTTTTCGACGTTTCAGTGGAAAATTCTTGAAACAAATGGAACGTCTGAAAAGGCATTCCTATTTTCCTGGTTGGAAAATTCCAGGCGGAAATTGGGATTTCATGTCTTCAAAACTTTTTTTGAATATTAGTGTCAGGCTTTCGCGGCCGTTTTTCGTTAAACGAAACTGACTTAGGCAAATGGTAAACGCGATTACCGAACGGAATCAAAATTCATCGGTCTGAATTCTGTTCACCATTGCCCAAACCGTGAAGCGACCAGTTTACCCGTGTAAATAGTAGAAAAGCCTTGTGTCCAAAAGCCTGCGATACAGCTTCGTCTCATCGCTATCTGCCGCTAGGGACATTTCGTCAAAGAGCGGTGAGAGGCCGGAGTATCGCAGAATATGCGTTATATATCATAGTAGATCGTAGCAATGGCAGATGGTTGCAATCTCTCTAATTACTTTTTAAGAGACACCAACAGCAAACTCGCTACATTCATCTACCCCAGACAAATGTTCAAAAAATAGTTTGTCTAGTGCAGTTCTTTGAAAATGGCCTTCCTATTGACCAGCGGCAGGCGAAGTCTCTTCGGGTTTTGACTAGGGCTGGCTGCAAACAATTGTTCCGGAGATCTACACGGTACTTACGTAAAGTAGACTAAGGCTCTCAGTCTCATTCGCTTTTGTGACAAAGACAAAGGTAATATAATAATAATAATAATAATAATAATAATAATAATAATAATAATAATAATTTATTATTTATTATTTATAAGGCGCAAAGGAAAAGATAGAGTTCCTCAAGTCTGTCTTTCCTTTTTAGGTGTTCCCATTCGTTCATTACAAGGTTCTTCTTAGGATTGGTATTATAATCTATTTTGTTTCCCTATTTTTAGTTTTTTTGGCGGAAAAGACGAAGTTCTCTTTCCAAACGCTGTTGAAAGGAACTTTCAGTCTTTTAACCTGTCATCTGCAGTTCGATCAGTATTACAGCTAGAGTTTCCATACCGGGGACACTAACGTCAATCAGTGCAAAGTCTCTCAGACCACAAAACAGCCCTTACTTTTTGCGTAGGCCAAGAACGCAAGAATAGTCGAAGGAATGGTCTGGAGCAAAACAAATGGTTGCGTGACCCTCTTGCCTGGAGCAGGGGGGGAGAGTGAGTGAAACTGGGGGGAGAGACGAAAAATACGTCTAAAAATTCGATAGAAACTGACAAAGAAAAAATAAAATTAAAAAACAAAAAAATGACAGTTTCGCAGTCTAATTAAAAGTAGTTGAAAAGTTAGTACTACCAAATCCGTCCCTGCTGATTAACAACAAAGCGCCAAAAGTGCTCGACGTTCAAGTTGAATATATACCATTAAAAGTTGGGAATGATGAATGCACGTACTTAACCTGTAACAGGCCTTAAGATAGTTGGGAAAACGCAAAGAAGAGTGAGCCAGATAAAATGGCGAAGGGGTGGGTTTAGGGAGAGAGGGCGAAAGAACCTCTTTTCCTCCTCCTACTCTCTAGCCTCCCACGCAGGCGCTTTTAGGGGAACTCGTTTTTCACGTGGGGAGGAGGGAGGATGAAAAACGAGCTCCCCTAAAAACGCATGCGTGGGAGGCTACCTACTCTCTCCATCTTACGCTCTTCCAAGCTCTTCCACGTTTGTTTTCCTCCGTTCTCCATTTCGCGTCACTGCCCACTATCCACTATCCACTGTCCACTACGCCTGGAAAAGGCTTGTTCATAGTGGGCCAGAGAGCTTTTTCCAATGCCGATGCAAGGGATCTATAGATGTCCATTTAGGAGCATTTGACATTTTAAAAGCTCATACTCACGCTACAACTATTCCTGCTCTAGCATTAGTCAAACGCCACTTTTTTTTTTCACTGTTTTCTGTTGTGCTGTTGAGGCAAGTTTTTGGTGATTTGCTTTTGTGATGGTGTTTCATCGTCGATCGAAACGAGTTAAAATATTTTCTGAAACGTTCCTTACAAAGTACCTTTATAAGCGTGATAGTAATACATCGATACGTTCATTCAGTGTCACGCCATTCAAAATAGATCAAAATAAAAATCAAAACCTTTAAATAGATAAAGTCATGAATCTGGGAAATGAAAGGAGGTAAATATACAAGGACCCTTGCCAAGATTCAGGCCAGAAGAATATTCCGCATACGAGATATCCGAAGAAATGTTTTACCCAAATTTATAGAGATTTGTATGACGCCATGCTGGTGCCCACCTGGATGGGCACCAACGTGCGCCTGCCTTTGGTTGTTTTTGTAGACAATGGCTCAAAACCATGTTTTCGCACTTAAATAAGGAGCTCCTTGAGTATTTGTAATTTCATTATGAAAAAGATTATGTACTTGACAAATCTATCGTTTTAACCACAGAATACGTCACTTTTTTAACCTACATGACAGCTCTCTCGGCCGTCATGTAAATGCCACGTCACGCAGTACCTTAGAAATTCAAGCGTACTCTACTACAAAACCAAGAACGCTTTTGAAGCGAAAATTTGTATGAAAACTAGTTTTCAGTGGCTCGAATACGTCATGAAAGAAAAATCGCAGTAGGATCGATAATTTTGAAGATTAAATTATAGTGACGTCATGTGAAAACCAACAATATGCATAATTACTTGAAAGAGAAAATTCGCAAGAAAAAAGAAAGTGTTCTAATCAGTTAATATTAGTTGTCTCCGTCTTAAATTTAACGTATTTATGCCTTTTGACGGCTGCTTAAATAAATAAAACACACCCCTGTACTTGTTTAAAGTCTGTTTTCGTTGGGCTCGGTCGACGTCTTGCCGACGTCGCTCAAAAAAGCCGACCTTTGGGCAATTCTGCACTATATATTGTATCCAAACAAGATGACTCTTCTAAATAAGATAGGTGTATTGAAAGAAGTAATATAGATTGTATGCTGGAATTTGGCATGTGATCAACGTTGAATAGAATGTTTAAAGTGTATCTGTTGTTAACACCGCTGGCGTGAGGGGCCGTGTAACGCTATTATTAATCACTGTAATGTCGCGATTTTTCGCAAAATTAGGGTTGAATTCGAGGTCTTGCGGGCTGCTTAAAATCGTTTGCCCAGAGATTTGTTTCGATTTTTTGATAGATTGGGTCCTGATAATGCTGTAGAGAGTCAATTTGCGAAATTCTAAGTTATAGCGCATTTTAAAAATTTCATTATTTCATCCCTATAATTTTGAACTGTAGACAGAAAATGTAAACTAGTTGTTCTAAAGTTACCTGGAGAAATCTTGTTTATAAACTAATTCATCACCAATCATGCGTTTGGTAACCTCTCAGGGAAATTGTAATTCTAGGTTATAAAATGTCTGCAAAAGTTCAGCGTCAAACTTATTCGTCGACTTTTTTTATTACAATGGGCTGTTGAACCCCCAGTTTGTTCTTGTAACTGTGATTAGAAGCCAATGAAAATACCTAAAATTTTAATTACAAAAGCTTTACAATGTTTAGCGAACAGTCCCGGACAAAGTGGGAAGCGGGTTGTACAACTCAACAGCAGTCTGTTTAAATGTTCAAAAAAGATGGTTTCTCTTTCACGAAATACCACCGTCCCCCCAATTCAATATTCGGATATAAAAAAAACAATGCGGGCATAAACACTTTTAAGTGTATACTGACGCTAAAACTAATTTTTTTGTCACCCTGTTTAGTTGTAAAGTACCTTGGAAGCGGCTAGAGCACTCAGGAACTACAGAAAAACTCTCAACTACGTCTGGTGTTTCCCCCTACACTTCTTTCGTACTCTAGCCGCTTCCTACTTGCTTTACAACAGAACAGAGCTCACTAAAAGGTTTCTTTATTTGTTAATTACTGGCAACATTGTTTCAACTAATAGTAATTCTTACTCGTTTCGCAGTTTTTTCCGGTGAATCCCTTCACGCAGATGCACTTATATCCATTTTCCTGGTACCGGGGAACACATTTACCAGAACTCTTACAGGGTGAATTGTCGCACGAAGACTACACAGAGGAAAGCATATAGCTCTTAGTAACGACCATTGAATGGCAAAGTCAAAGTATCAATTAACGCAACGCAAAACAAACGTGGTCGGGAGATTTGTGTGCCTTGATAATACTAGTGGGGACCTTGTAATTTGGTTCCTGGTGGGTTCAACCATGCTGGGTAGCTTTTAGGTGAAAATAGGCGAGACAAATTGCCGCGCCTGGCCCTCCAGGAGCTAGGTCATGGGGTTAATGGCCCATCCCCCTTAAAAAAAATAGACGGAAATTCAGCAATCGACTTTCATTGACCAAGTTGAGCCCAAAGTTAACCCTCGGACGTACAAGGGAGAGGGCGGGGGGGTGGATGCCCCCCGTAAGTTTTTTTTGAATTTCTTTCTAGAGGATAAAACATCAGGACCTGACGTTTTCAGTAGCTGTTCATTCATCCCTCGCGTACATTTTGAGACAGGTTCAGTGATGGTCAGTTGCTATGGTTACGAGATATTACGTCATTAGTAGAAGGTGGTCAAGCCATTTTTAGGTGAGAATACATGTTTTTTAACTTATTTCAACAATAAAAGTAAATCTTGTGGCCAAAATGAAGCAAAGTGCTTATTTATGTGTTATTTTTCATGTAAAGCACAAAAAACTACTACTTCTCGCTGTTTTAACCTGATTTCTAATTCTTGGTAAAATACAATATGCGACCATTGTTGGTGACGTCACGGGCCTCCAGTAGCGCCACCACCCATAAAATATACCTTATCTTGTTAAGAAGATCAAAGGCTTTCCATTAAAGGTAAAATCGTTTCGAAATACTGCAACATATCAAAAACTCTTCCCCCCCCCCCGTTGTACCACGGTGGGGGTATGAATTTGCGCGTACGTCCGAGAGTTAAGTTTAGTAGCATTTACTGGACTTACGCAGCGTAAAAGCAAATCAGAAGTCACACAAGAAAACGATGTTTTCTTTGCCTTCTTTTTCTGGCCCCCTTCATTTTCTCGTTTGAGATCTTACTTTACGAAACGCAAGGAAAAATAAACCAAAATTACCGCCTGTTACACAGGCTAGGATCGCCCTATGTAAGGGAATCTTTGCCTGCGCCACAGTCAAAACTAAACTTTGGCTAAGTCCGTCTGCTAAACAGTTCTAGTTAGGCCTCAACCTGTGTACCAGGATTTGAGTACGCGCCATGATATATTAGCCTGTTAAAAAAGGCCATTGTATATTTGCCAATCAGATTGAAAGGAAATTCCAAAGGCATATCCGGTAATTCGTTGAGTCCATTGGGGGCCCAGAATAAGGATTTGGAATAATGTCTGCTTTGCAGACATTACTAACCGGGGTTAAATTACGTCTGCGACGCAGGCTAGGGAATCCAAGACAGTCGTGGATTCTGGAATCCACGCCTTGGATTCCGGATTCCAGGTACTGGGTTCCAGTCTTTGCCGGTGGAACTTCGATTCCGGATTCCAATCGTTAGTGGGATTTCATATTTCTCGAGCGGTATTCCCGATTCCAAAGCCCAGGATTCCAGATTCCACAAGCAAATTTTTCCTGGAGTCCGGATTCCACAAGCAAAAATTTCCCGGATTTCGGAATCCAGACTCCCTTACATGGAACGACTAGGAAATGTGGTCCAGGGCCCGGTTGCATAAAACGTCCGTAACAACTACGGGTACACGTACGTGCACTCGTAACTTAAGTCAGTTGCATGAAATCACTTAAGTGGTCCACTTAGGGAATTCACTTAAGTGGTTGCACTTACGATTTTCGTAAGTGTTCACTTAAGTGTCGTTTATAGAATAGAAGCTGCGGGTGTTGCATAAAACTTTTTTTACGGGAAAAATAGCACGTAAATTTAAGGGACCTATGTACGTCCCGTATCGTTACTGCTTTTACAAAATTTAGCGAGATCTTTTACTGAGAAGTGAAAAAAAGTCTTCACCTAATTCGTTCTAATGCGCTTTGTTAACCTCTGATGTACACTTTTGTGAAAAAAGAAGAAGAACTATCATTTTCAGTAGATATTGAAGAAAAATAACGTTTGCATGCAAATTTCATTATTTGAGAGGCTTAAGAGTGTTCGAAACGACTTTTAACTTTCTTTACACTCACCGATGGTTAGCTTTAAAAAAAAAGAGTGAATCATTAATAAAGTACTATATCAAGGTTACGTGTCCCCTTAAGTGAGCCCGTAAGTTACCACGTAAAACAGAAACTTGCGAGAGTGCTAAGTGCGTTCCATGCAACACCCGTAAGTGTACCCATCACTCTTTTTCTTTTTTTTTAAGCTAACCATCGGTGAGTGTAAAGAAAGTTTTAAGTCGTTTCGAACACTTTTGAGCCTCTCAAAAAAATGAAATTTGCATCCAGACGTTATTTTTCTTCAATATCTACTGAAAATGATAGTTCTTCTTTTTTCACAACGTCGGCTTTAAAGTGTACATCAGAGGTTAACAAAGCGCATTAGAACGAATAACGTGAAGACAAATACTCTTTTTCACTTCTCAGTAAAAGATCTCGTTAAGTTTAATAAAAACAGTAAATTGTTCCCGTAAATTTACGTGCTATTTTTCCCGTTAAAAAGGTTTTATGCAACACCCGCAATTTCTGTTGTATAAACGACACTTAAGTGAACACTTACAAAAATCGTAAGTGCAACCACTTAAGTGAACTCCCTAAGTGGACAACTTAAGTAATTTAATGCAACTGACTTAAGTTACGAGTGCACGTACGCGTACGCGTACCCGTAGTTGTTACGGGCGTTTTATGCAACCGGGCCCAGCGCCCTTACTACTGCGCCTAAACGTCACCATTTGTACAAACCTTTATTTGGTTCTAGTCTAGGTTTAAGGATTAATCATTTTTAAAAGCGCTACTATCCACGATACAAATTCCCTCTAGAATAATCGCTAAACATTTCGTTACTGAATTAACCTAGAGAATTCATTTAAAGACCAAGTATTGTATATTTCTAGGTAATCGTTTTGTGTATTGGTTCTTGCGAAAGTGGTCACCTATTCAAACTGTTAAAATTTAATGCTCATGGCTTTACAGATTGTAGTACGGCGTCGGTTTGCTAGTGAAAGATAGCAGAGCTTAAAAAATAATAATAAAATAAAGTCGGAAAGTTTCAGTGATAGAAATAGGGTTCATTTCTAAGGAAAACTGCTATAAAAACGACGAAATACAAGAGGTTTCATAATTACTCGTGGCGATTGTGGTTTTTAGTTTGCGTTGCCATAACAACATCCTGCGATTGGCAGTTACCACGTAAAACAGTAACTTACGAGAGTGCTAAGTGTGTTCCATGCAACACCCGTAAGTGTACCCATAACGGATTCGTAAGTGACCTACTTAAGTGAGCACTTAAGTGCAGGTTTTATGCAACCGGGCCCAGGTCTTAGTTAATGTAGCTAACGCAAACAAGAGCATCTGATTTCACTGATTGTTTTTTAGAAGAGGTTAATAACTCTGAATTGAATTCAGTCTTCTAGCTGTTAATCTACAAGGTTTTGAAATACAAATTCCTGGAATTTTTATCAGACATCAGCTAACTACAAATATATTCGACGATCGTGTCGATGCAGCCGTAATGACATATCCTCCATTAAGAACAACAAACAACATGTTTTACATCACTTAGCAAGGATCTCATTTACATGTCCAGCTGGATTTATTCAACTTCCGTGTAGAGATTTTACATGGTTTATAAACAACTGAAGGTTTTATATGTAGAAATGGAGGCAAGATTCAAGACTAACTTTTACTTCACAATCGAAAATATCAAACAATCAAGCCTCCATGCGCCATCACCTCTCGTAAGCGACCACCTCCAATAAGCGACCATCTATCTAATACACTAAAATTTTCCCAGTCAAGTTAATGTCGTTTATGTCACTTCTCAGTAAAAGATCTCGTCAACTTAAGTAAAAACAGTAACGATACGGGATCTACATGGGTCCCGTAAATTTACGTGCTATTTTTCCCGTAAAAAACGTTTTATGCAACACCCGCAATTTCTGTTGCATAAACGACACTTAAGTGAACACTTATGCAAATCGTAAGGGCACCCACTTAAGTGAACTTCCTAAGTGGAGCACTTAAGTGATTTCATGCAACTGACTTAAGTTAGAGTGCATGTACGTATACCCGTAGTTGTTACGGACGTTTTATGCAACCTGGCCCAGAGTAGCATAAAGGGAAAGTCTTAGTGTCGAGGGCATCGCCAACATTAGGAGGGTGTCATTTTTTATTTAAATAAAATGTCGTTTTTCCAGCCCAGGCTGAATACATTTTTTTCCGATTTTAGGCGGAAAATATCTTAAATTATAGCTTATGCCGTTAAAACATAATTGTGTCTTGTTAACAGAGTTTTTAACACACAAAACTATATCTTTTTCAAAATTTCAGCTTTGGGTTTATTTCTTAAAGCAAAATTTCGCAAATTTCAGACTCTATACTGATTCTTCAAAATATGTTGTTACTGAAAATAAAATATAATAATAATAATAATAATAATAGTAATAATAATAATAATAATCCATGATTTAACCAAATGTGTTTAAGCGAACTATCGAACGCTTTTTAATGGAGAAAACTGTATTTCAGTGGAGAGATTAAGTTTGAANTTCATGCAACTGACTTAAGTTAGAGTGCATGTACGTATACCCGTAGTTGTTACGGACGTTTTATGCAACCGGGCCCAGAGTAGCATAAAGGGAAAGTCTTAGTGTCGAGGGCATCGCCAACATTAGGAGGGTGTCATTTTTTATTTAAATAAAATGTCGTTTTTCCAGCCCAGGCTGAATACATTTTTTTCCGATTTTAGGCGGAAAATATCTTAAATTATAGCTTATGCCGTTAAAACATAATTGTGTCTTGTTAACAGAGTTTTTAACACACAAAACTATATCTTTTTCAAAATTTCAGCTTTGGGTTTATTTCTTAAAGCAAAATTTCGCAAATTTCAGACTCTATACTGATTCTTCAAAATATGTTGTTACTGAAAATAAAATATAATAATAATAATAATAATAATAGTAATAATAATAATAATAATCCATGATTTAACCAAATGTGTTTAAGCGAACTATCGAACGCTTTTTAATGGAGAAAACTGTATTTCAGTGGAGAGATTAAGTTTGAACCAGTCTGCCTCATAAACTTAATCGGATCATCCAAATTTCTGTTTAACGAACTGAAGAAGCATGACTGGGCATTGGAAGCTGGCAGTTCGCAGGTGTAACATTTCACTAGCGTTAATTTTACAAATAGAAATAACTAAGGTGTCTTTTAGATACATATAGTTCCAGAGAACTCACTCTCTTGTTTTGTTTTGTTTTGTTTTTTTCTTTCGTATTGGAAGTAAAGAGAATTCTGAGTGCCTCCCCCCTTCCAGAATTCGATCATCCAAAGCCCATAACATTGTAGCTATGGAGAGAAATTAGAACAATATCTACACAGTGTTCCCATGAAACGGAGAAGGCAGCGTGGTTGGATGGTTAAACTGGACATGTAATGGGGAGGCCCCGAGTTCAAGTACCATGCACTCTGTCCACTTGCTTGATTGTTCTCGTTAGTCCAGTGTTTAAATGCTTAACCCAATTTTTTTTTAAGTAGCCAAATGGTTCGCCTCCTACCAGTTGGGATTCTTAACCATGTTACGTTTCCTTTGAATTAGCATTTGTTTCATTAACCCTGCATGAAAAGCCCGATAAGGGGAGAGGATTATTGAGCATTTATTCTTAAAACTCTCTCACTGTCAGAGGGAATGATGGAGTTTTGTAACCTGCGGACAAAATTCTGTGAAGTTACCATTCAAATAAAACCTCCCTGCCTTTACTTTCACACGGTGCTATTCGTATTTTCAGCATTTTACAAAACAAAATTTGGAAATTCTTGTCGCCTTTTGCCACATTTGGCAGCAAAAGGGTTATAGAACGAAACACTTTTCATCATTTAGACGTTTGACTCACCGGAATAAAGAAGTGATGAAACTCTTTGCTGGCGTTGAACTTGTCTGAGTTGTTATACTTGTCCGATGACAGGAGTTCGCACAGAAGTTTGCCGTTGACGTCAGGGAAGGCAGCCACGTTGTACGAAAAACAGGATGGAATTTCTAGACAGGCGTAGCCACAATCGTTTTCGTCTTGAATAAGATTCCGTCCAATACTTGTGATATTCAGGTAGGAAAATTGATCGATCATGAAGTTGACATAAAACATGCCACCAATCGATCCTTGGCTGAAAGCTTTTCAAGAGAAACGAGGACACAAAGATGTAAGCTTGAGGAATGAGCTCGAAATATGTTCCAAATGAACTTGGCTATTAAAAATGTAGTGTGCAATACAAGGTAACGTTTTACCTCTAGAATGACTTGGAAAAGCAGCAAAGATCCCCATTGCGAAGACATAGCATCTGGGAAGTACTGGAAAGCCTACCATCCTTGTTAGAGTTGCGGCTCTTTACCTTGATTAGCCTTCTTAAAAGATTTGTCCTTTGTTGAAAAAGCCTTCAGTTGTTTAGGTCTAAATGTAGTTGTTAGCCTTCGGCTTACTGTCAAAACAGACTATTAAAAGCACTGCAATTCGATGTTTCAGTGATTCGTTGACAAATAAATTATGTCACCCGTCGCTGATTCGCTACAACAGTACCACTTTTTATAAGCAAGAGATTGCCCTAAGTCAATAACTCCAACCACGTAGCTATTGTCATTTAATACTAATATCAGTGTTTACGCAAATATTTTCCCATACACTACCTATAAAAACAGTTCTTTCTTTATCTGCCCCCGTATTTTAATGACGTTAATTTCGTGAGCAAAGATATTTGTGAGAATTTTTGAAGTATATTTTGTTGCTAAGTAATATCATTTTATTTTGTTACTTCTCACCCGACGCACGGCAACTGAACGTAAAAGAAAACGAATAAAAAAAAGAGAAAGGATTGAGCGAAAGTTGACAAAATAAATAAATAAATAAATAATTGAAAGAAGAAGATCGGCTGGATGGTTTGATGGCCGTGGACGGATAAACGGCTTGCCCAGAGAAACAAAATGGATATTAACGTTAAAAAACACTCGCTTACGCAAAAGAGAGATGATGATGATGATAATAATGATAATAATAATAATAATAATAATAATAATAATAATAATAATAATAATAATAATAATAATAATGATAATAATTGCACTACTAAAAAATGATGATGATAACAATAATAATAATGATCATCATTATCATCATCAAAGGATGCTGTATTCAAATTAAGCAAGGATGTATTCAAATTAAGGATCAAGAGAGTATTATAAAGCAGGAAAAATACACATATATGTTGTAGTAAATTTTTATCTCTGTTAATTTTCATTTTTCCATTGTTTTGGGGTATGGTTATGTATGCTAATGAATTTGAAACAAAGGAAAAATAAAAATAAACTGATATAAATGTAATAATGATAGTTATTGTACTACTAACAAAATGATGATGATAACAATAATGACCATCATCATCAAAGGATGCTGAATTCAAATTAACCCATTCCCTCCTGGAGATTTTGCCGAAAAACGCGTTTTGAAGCTAGTCGAGTAGTTTTCTGGTCACTGTCGTGCTATAAAGAGCTAAAACTTACCACAAACCGGTTTACAGGCCATGGCCTTTTGATCCAGATGCAAAATATCAGCTTGCGAAGTTTGGGCATGCGCAGAAAGCGATAGTGACACAGCAGTCTTGACTTTTACTTTTCGCTTTCTCTCCTCCCCTCTTTTTTCGCTTTTCTTGCCTCATTTTTTTTTCTCTTGCTGGGCATTTAGTAGGCTTCATTTTGGTGGGAATAGTTTTTAGGAAAGCTTTTAGGATCTTAGGATTAGGTGAAAGGAAAGGTAGGTGGGCAATGGAACAAAATTTTCATAGAGATTTTCAGGTCAATGTTACATGGTTTTTTGCCTCTTTCTCCGGCGTCCTTGACTGAATTGTGCTCATTCTGGTATGGTTTGAAAGATCTCTTCACTCTGCACAAGTTAGCGGACAAAGTTGTCCTTGACCATTAAAACTGATGACGTCACAAAGGGTAGAAAGGACGTGGATCCGCACGGGCGGTTACGGGCGGTTCAGGGGCGAATGGGTTGAGCACAACACAAGAGAGGAGTATAAAGCAGGAAAAATACACACATATGTTGTAGTAAATTTTTTATCTTAGTTAATTTTTATTTTTCCATTGTTTTGGGGTATGGTAATGTATGCTAATGAATTTGTAACAAATAAAAAATAAAAATTAACTGAAATAACAAAAATTAGCTGCAACAGATATAATACTTCAAACAGCATTGAGCAGTATAAACATCTAAAACAAAATGAAACAGTAGCCATTGAACCACCCATTACTCACAGTCATCTATTTTTCTGTAAGATCGTAAGAACAGAGCACTTAACGTTAAGTGCGGCTAGCATTGGTTTCAAATATTTCATTAAGTACCTTTATAAGCCTGATAGTAATACATCGAAACGTACATGTATACTTATACATAATTACTTGAAAGAGAAAACTCGCAAGAAAAAAGAAAGTGTTCTAATCAGTTAACGTTGGCTGTCTCCGTCTTAAATTTAACGTATTTATGCCTTTTGACGGATGCTTAAATAAATAAAACACACCACTGTACTTGCTTAAAATCTTTTTTCGTTGGGCTCGGTCGACGTCTTGCCGATGTCGCTCAAAAAAGCCGACCTTTGGGCAATTCTGCACTGTATATTGTATTCAAACAAAATGACTCTTCTAAATAAGATAAGTGTATTTAAAGATGTAATATAGATTGAATGCTGGAATCCGGAGGCCTATTGTTGGCTTTCACAAGACGTCACTAGAATTCAAACTGCAAAACTATAAAACCTACGGAGATTTTACTTTCACGATGTATTAGAGCAGCTGAAAACTAATTTTCATTCAAATTTTCGCTTCGAAAGGGTTCTTGGTTTTGCGATAGAGTACGCTTGAATTTCGAAGCTTTTCCGTGACGTGGCATTTACATGACGGCCAAGAGAGTTGTCATATAGGTTAAAAAAAATGACTTATTTCAGGGAATTTTGCTATCTAAACAGTTTATGTATTAGAAAAAGTATTACTTTAATGTTTATAAGTTCCTCGAAGAATAAATTCACGCTTTTGTAGCAAAACTCGGTAACAGATGTTTCTGTTGGTTTCCGTCCGCCAAGTTGGTGCTTAACTGGATGAGCAAGCATGGCGTCTCCATACAAATCGCTATAAATTTGGGTAAAACATTTCTTCGGATATCTCGCATACGAAGCATTCCGATGACCTGAGTCTTGGCGGGGGTCTTTGCATATTTACCTCCTTTCATTTCCCAGATTCTGGACTTTATCTATTGAACGGTTTTGATTTTTTATTTTGATCTATTTTGAATGGCGTGACACTGAAAACCAGCAATACGGGGATGTGCCGCTGGAATTTCGCTAATATTTCATTGTCGTAAAATCTCATTTCGGAGCAGATCTTCAAGAAAACTTTTTCCTACGCGGTATAACTCACAATGACTTGAAATTAATTTTCCTGATAAGTATAAATGGCGTTTTTTTCCAATGATATAAAAATTTATCTGAGGCTTTCATTCACTGCTAGGAAAAAGTCCGCTAAACTTTGAGAAAATCACGCATTGACTTGTCAACAAACGAAGGTATTCAAATTACGCTCTTCGTTATCAAAGCCAAAATTTCACACAAACCTTAGCTTTTAGCTCTATTTTAGATCTAAAAGACAGTACAGTAAGCTTACATTATAGAGCCAGCGGCGAAAAATTGGTTTTTCCCCCTGTTTTCGTTTCAAATTGCCATCTGGTCAGTGTTATTACCTATAACAATGGTGGGTACTTCATATATTCAAGAAAAGGCTAAAATTCGAAAAAAAGCGGGATTTTGGACGGAATTCATGCCATGTCAGACATTGCCCCAGAAAATTCTTTTCAAGCTTAGAGAATTTGCTCAGTAGAAAAAAACTTTGCCGATAAGTGGTCAACGTCACCAGCAGGTAAATCCAAAATTTCTAGGTTACCTTTGTTTACTGAGGACAAGAACATGTCACTGAAAGTTTTCCTGGTCGTGTTTTCACTTTTTGGCTCTTTTCCGAAACTCTCAATTTCTTCTCAGCTGTTTCCGTAAACTCGTTCGTCACCAGATAACGCTGTGGCTTCACGGTTTTGTCTTATGAGATTAAGGCTTGAGCCGTATTCCGGATTCCTAAATCCAGGATTCCAGATTCCATAAACAAAATTTTCATTGACAAATAAATTATGTCACCCGTCGCTGATTCGCTACAACAGTACCACTTTTTATAAGCAAGAGATTGCCCTAAGTCAATAACTCCAACCACGTAGCTATTGTCATTTAATACTAATATCAGTGTTTACGAAAATATTTTCCCATACACTACCAAAAAAAACAGTTCTTTCTTTATCTGCCCCCGTCTTTTAATGACGTTAATTTCGTGAGCAAAGATATTTGTAAGAATTTTTGAAGTATATTTTGTTGCTAAGTAATATCATTTTATTTTGTTACTTCTCACCCGACGCACGGCAACTGAACGTAAAAGAAAACGAATAAAAAAAAGAGAAAGGATTGAGTGAAAGTTGACAAAATAAATAAATAAATAAATAATAGAAAGAAGAAGATCGGCTGGATGGTTTGATGGCCGTGGACGGATAAACGGCTTGCCCAGAGAAACAAAATGGATATTAACGTTAAAAAACACTCGCTTACGCAAAAGAAAGATGATGATGTTGATAATAATAATAATAATAATAATAATAATAATAATAATAATAATAATAATAATAATGATAATAATTGCACTACTAAAAAATGATGATGATAACAATAATAATAATGATCATCATTATCATCATCAAAGGATGCTGTATTCAAATTAAGCAAGGATGTATTCAAATTAAGGATCAAGAGAGTATTATAAAGCAGGAAAAATACACATATATGTTGTAGTAAATTTTTATCTCTGTTAATTTTCATTTTTCCATTGTTTTGGGGTATGGTTATGTATGCTAATGAATTTGAAACAAAGGAAAAATAAAAATAAACTGATATAAATGTAATAATGATAGTTATTGTACTACTAACAAAATGATGATGATAACAATAATGACCATCATCATCAAAGGATGCTGAATTCAAATTAACCCATTCCCTCCTGGAGATTTTGCCG